GAAGGTAACACCTATATTGACAGCCAAGTAGCCTCGCCTGTAATTCAGCTATCTCCCATACAACAAGCAACTAGGTCACATGCATTTTTTCATCAATCTGCAAGAGCCTTACAAAAGACATTTGAGTTGTCCCGTAGTGAAGTGAGATCCGTAATAGCTGCCTGCCCTGATTGTGCTAAACTCACACCATTACAACAGGAAGGGACAAATCCACGAGGACTACAGCCTCGACAAATCTGGCAAACCGATGTTACAGATTTCGCTCCTTTTGGGATTTTAAAACACGTCCATGTAACTGTTGACACCTGCTCAAAAGCCATTTGGGCCACAGCCCATAAATCTACTAACGCTGTAGCTAGCATTCAGCATTGGACCTCTGCTATAGCAGTGCTCGGGTGCCCTCACACCATCAAGACTGACAATGCACCTGCCTACTTAAGTGTAAGAGTAAAAGCTTTTCTAACCCAATGGAATATTAAACATATCACAGGAGTGCCTTATAACTCCGGAGGTCAGGCTATCATAGAACGCACTCATCAATCCTTAAAACACTATTTACGTATTTTCAAAACAGGGAGGGAAAAGAGTCCTCATGCCATTATTGCAAAAGCTTGTTATGTGCTGAACTGGTTGAACCCTAGAACAGATAAAACTGAAACACCAATATTTAATCATTTTATTGCCAATACTAATGATTTTACCTCTCAAAAGATTGCTGTACAAGTTTTTGACCCTTTACAGAATATGTGGTCAGGTCCATGTGATTTATTAACATGGGGGAGGGGTTATGCATGTGTTTCTACAGGGAACACGACCAAGTGGATCCCAGCAAAGTGGGTACGCCCTTGGATACAGTTTCAGGACTCAGAAGAAGAAGAACAGAAAGACAGCGACCCTGGCGACGAATCCTGATTACGAAAGACTTCAACGATACATACACCAATTACATATTGCTACTGATAAGTATTTGAAACCATTGTTGGAGAACACTGAATATCAATATCTGTTGGGTTGGAAAAATTTAGATGATTTTTGGTTTATCAAACAGACGCTAGGGATAGTCATTCCAAATTCTATTCTCTGTGGAATCAGCCTTGTATTTCATGTAAACAGAAACATAATATTGATAAAACATGGATACTCATACAGTGTGGAGGTTGTAAAGAGGAAATCTGGGTCTGTCAGAGGCAATTAGACGGGTGGTGTGAACGCTGTGACAACAGGTGGCGAGGAAATAACATAATACGGTCTTTAGAGGAATTTACAGGTCTCTCTATCCAAGAAATCAGTGAGGTCCCAATTTTTGAAAGCCAGGAACAAAGGTGGATAGCGGAACAGAGGTGGAGCATACGACATGAATATGACCGAATCATGGCTCAAAATGACACCAAGATCCTTGATTGGTTCTGTGATGAAAACTTGTGTATCCCTAGGGGGTGGATGGTCCCTCCCCAAAACATGGATCGGGTTTGTTTTGCGTTTCATAAATTACGGATTAACAAACGCAAGGAAAAATGGCAACGTAAACAACAAAACTAAGGCTATCTGGTATTACCACCTAATTCTATCCAGCATCATCCCTGTCGCAGCCATCCACAACATTGACCCAAGACAAAATATGTGGGTTACTTGGGCCAATGTGTCTGGAGTTACAGAATTTTGTCTATCCCTCCAAAAAGCCAGTGATCCTTTTCGAACTTGTCTAATTGGTTATCCATACATACATTGGCCAGACTTTAGCCATTTGGGAGTGAACTACACTGCTATTAATAACTCTTATTGGCAGTGGAGAGATGACAACTCACGGGGCGAATGTACAAAATCATGGAATTGGCCTATTGTAAAAGAAGCACGTTTTTTACAACAGTTGATATACCAACTCAAAGAGTCGGCACCTTTACCCTTACAAGAATTGGATTTGTGGGGATCATTTCCTCCTGTCATAAGTGTGAGCAATGTTTCTAACCAAACAAATTGTACCAATATATACCCAAAGATTTTACCGATCAATGGATCCGGAGTGGTCCATTTTGGAGACTCATGGAAACGTCTCATGCATGCCGACGGCGTAATGCAATATTATCTGGGCTACCAAAATGTGACCAGGCAATCTATTCATTGGAATACCTCCAAACATGCCGGGGAGTTAAATGTAGAAAACGTGTCTGCTAAAATACTACCTGAGGGTTATTTTCTAATATGTGGTGATAGAGCTTGGCCTGGTATTCCTTTTCGTCCCGTGGGAGGACCATGTTACATTGGAAAGTTAACCATGTTTGCACCCGCCATGCGTGACCTGGTAAGACAGACAAATCACATTCGGACCAAGAGAGATCTCAAAGACTTAACACCTGATTGTGATGACAATGTGAAACTTGGAACAACAGGTGAAGCCGTTGCTTTGCCACTTTTCCTCCCGGGGGCATGGCGGCAGCAAACTGGAAGAAAATTAAAACTTTGGTGTGCTGGGCTGTAAAACAATTTAACTCTACTTCTGAAATCTTAACAGGTTTAGCTAGCGATGTAAATAGCTTGAGACATGCGGTTTTGCAAAATAGAGCAGCGATTGACTTTTTGCTTTTAGCACATGGGCATGGGTGTCAGGATTTTGAGGGAATGTGTTGTATGAATTTATCTGATCATTCACAAAGCATACACAAACAGCTACAAGAACTTAAGGAACGCATGCATCATGTAAAAGAAGGATCTGCGGGATTGGATGCCTGGCTGGCATCATGGGGAATAGGAGGTTGGCTGAAAGATGTACTGAAACAAGGGTTGTCTATACTCATTTTTATTCTGGTTTTATTGCTTGTTGTTCCATGTATCTTTAGGTGTCTTCAAGATTGTATCATTCACAGCTTCGATTCTATGCTTAAGCGAAAGGGGGGAAATGTTGGGGCCTTAGCAATTCTGCATGATTATTCTGAATTCTGAAAAGGTCAGGAGGTAACGGTAAGATAAACAAGAAACGGCTTGCTGCTGCAGGAATGCAGGAGTCAGCAGAAACAGGATGGGAAAAACAGTGATAACGGAAACGGTATGCAAATGTGGGCTTCAAAACCACAAATCAGTGGGTTACCTAGGGCGCGTGGACAGCGCGTGCTGACCAATCGTGATGGCGTGCTGTGCTCGTGTTCACGTGGACAGGACTCAGAATAATATAAATTGTACAGCCTAACAATAATAAAACTGGATTTGAACTTGCATCTTGTGGATGTGTGTGTGGTTCTCTCCCGCTCGCTTGTTTGCCTGCAGCACTCTACCCTTCTCCAAATCATACATTATTGTTAAACCTACCGCCATGGTAAAAGGTCAATAACCATTTCCCGTACAACCCATGCCTCCTGTTTCCAGTTGCTAATATAGAGTCTTTGGCACAGATTATTCTCCCTAACTAATCTCTGTCTGAAAAGAGATTTCCTCCACCTAGTACTATTAATACAGTTTAGGGTCAGAGGTTGAGCACCACCACAGCTGGAAATAAATGCTCAAGTATAGCATTAAAAATTCTTAGCAGTGCTTGAATGCAGCTGAGCACATCCATAACCTGAAAGGGAACATACAGTCCCAGCAGCCATCCTACACCTTCACAATTGCCATCTTCCCAGTTGTAAGTGAAACCAACCTCTCTGTAGATCATGTACTGAGATGGTATTGTGGTGCAAAGTGACCACTGTTGTTAGTCTGGCCTACCGCTTAAGAAAATGGTTCTCTGAAGCAGGTTGTCAAGACACACATCACTTATCAGAACCTAGCTAAGTGTTCAAGTCCTGGAGGTCAAATAAAGATGCCATGAATACAACAGGAGGGTGTCAGTGACAAAGAGAAGGAGGTAAGGTGTGGTTAGTTGCATAAACATTTGAAGATCATGTGAATACCCACAATCACCTTGAACATACTTCCTGCAATTAACTACCTAGTTGCTTTAGCTCATCTCCATAGCACTGGATTTGCAAATGGTGGTTTTGCAGTAAGTTGTTAGCTAATGCTATCAAAAACCCTCAGATTGAGTCAAAATAAGCATACATCAGTTACTAATGCAGCACCAACTTTTAGCCCCTTAAATTGCTCTTTAAAGATCTGCTGTCCCTGGGTGGCAACAAATGTGGCCCAGATTAAACAGATAAGAACAAATTATTGCATTTTTAATGCCATTTAATTTCTTGGATACATTTAAAGAAAACACAAGCAACATCCTGTTTCAACATTGCACATATTTGAGTTTCAAGTAATTTTATTCTTCAAGAGAGTTCAGACCTGAGTTTTCAGCTTGTTCATAACATGGTTGCATTAAACATTTATGAGAAAACTTCAGCTTTACTTTGTTTTACACTCCAGGCAATTTCCTGAAGGGATGGGAAACATAAAGTTGGGGCAGGAAACAAAGTTCACTGATTTTATGTTTCAATAAAGCTACCAGCTTTCAGGTGCACTGTAGCAGGTTAGTCTTGGGGTGGAGAAGGGACAAAGAAGGAATTCTTTGAGTTCAATATTGTTAGGTTGTTTTTTCATACTAAAAAGACAAAACTGTGCACACAATAGTAACAAATACACAAAGCAGACCTTGACTGATTGTGAACTACAGATCAAAACACTAAGTCACTGATTTGCAACTTAAAAGTTTTCTCCCCAGACTACACATGGTGAGACTGAGCAACAGTTTACTACTCAATCTCCAATACACAGCATTTGGTAACCCCTATATGTTTGTAAAACGGGCTGAAAGCATAAGGCAAAGGTCTATTTTTTACTCATTAGCATTCTGAATCTTAAATAAGCAATTGAAACCAAGTAAGCAATATGCTTTCACACAGGATTGTGTTCTGCAAACAGCAGTGTTCAGGTATTTCCATTGTAATTAATACACAAAATCAACTAGATCTAACTTATTGGTGCATCTTGAAATTAATTTGATCACTTAGGAGGATTAAATTGCCATCTTTGTTTCAGTGGCACAATGAAAAATGTACTGTTTACAGTGAGAGTTAAGAAAATACCTGGTATGTAATTGCTCTGTGGTTCAATTCCAGCTGGAAAGTTAGTGTTTTCAGGAATGGAATGGGTATAGTCATCGAGAGGTGGCAGTTCTGTTAGAATCTCAGTGTGCCGTGGCACTAGTACAGGAGGCAAGACTGGAAAAGCAAAATTCAAAGCATTAGTAAGACCCTCAAAATACATGCTTCTGTGAACTAAAAGGAAAAAAAAAATATCTAAACCATCTAACAATCTCTTCAGATGTTTTGAAATTTTCTGAATCTAAGTACTGATAATACTACGATTGTACTACTAGTCAGTGGAAGAAACAAATTACTGAAGTGCCTCTTAAGACTATTCCACATTAGCAAAGGTAAATCATCTCTGTTCTCCTTTTCAGTCCAGGTCCTATTTAACCATCTGGAAACTGCTAGCAGTCCTGGAAATGTTAATCAGGGTAAAGGTATCTCCACATTCATAAAGATTTTTCAGTAACTTTACTATTAAAAACTATCAGGGTGGTATTCTCAAAAGCTGTATCTCTAAGAATCTTGTATTTTTGGCAAGAGAAAGCATCTTTTTTTTTTCACTTATAACATTATGCTTATCAAGTATGTACAGATGCTATACCAAGTCAGAAGCAGTCTTCCTACCTGGTGTTTCCACTCTCTGGTAGTGGTAAGGGTTTACACATACTTCATCCTTTTTAAGATTAAAAGCATATTCACAGTTTTCAACTGCTTTAAGTTCATGGTGACTGTGAAGATCTGGCCAGCGCCACAAACGACAGTAAATAACATGTGGTAATCCTTTACGATGAGATACCTGTAGACGGCCATCGAGAGATCTAGAGGGGAGAGATGTTGAGAAGTATTTACAGACTGCATGCTGTCTCTTAATCACTCAAAGTACAGTGTATACACATGAGATGGGTAGTTCATTCATTCTCAGAATTCAGAGGATTGACACTGCTAGTGACATTTATACTCTTGTTAAAAGGCTTCAAATGTGATAAAAATGATCATATCAAGTAGCTTCTTATTTTTGAGTTGTTCAAATTATTACCAGTATATTTAGAATTCATTAAAAGCCACTTTACATCCAACCAAGTATTTAGGATGATTGCTTCATATATTTTTTTTAAATGAAGAACAGAATTTATAAAAAATAAATAAATAAAATCACACACTTCATGGTCCCTTCCACTACTACACCTCAAGGTTTTGCTATGGCATAGATGCTTTATGGTTTTAAGTATAAGAATTCCAACAGGACTGCAAATAAGCCTATAAGCAGTCAGCTGTCCAAGTGATCCACATGGCAGTATAACTGTAATGCAAAAAGCATGAATGCACCTCTTTTAAGGGCTGTTCAGTTTATCTTCTTGACTTCATCTGCCTTGCTACCAGCTGAAAATGTTTTGCTAGTTTTAAGACAGACTGCATATGCTTACACAAATGCAGATGTTTATGATTGTTATGGGATGGGAGACAAACCTCAGTACACAAATCAAGCAATGTGACATGAAAAAATAAAGATCCTGTTTAGAATTTGCCCACTATTAACTACTGAAGAATTTACAAACAATTCTTTAGTAACTCATATCTGAACCAATTAGCAAGATTTAACTGAAAGCTTGTGACATACAAAGCAGTTTAATCACTTTGTAAGATTAGGTCTAAAGAATTAAGTTCCCCAACTTTGTTAATATAAATAACAAATCACATTAGAGCTTGCATTTAACAAGTCTTCCCATTCTTTCAATAGCACTGGTGTGAAAAAATGAATATTGCAGAATTAGTTTCATTGGTCAAAACATCAGCTGATAACACTTGGATTTCTACACTTGCAAGCAAATATTTTAAAATGCTGTACCATGAGAGGCCTAGGAAGCATTTTAGTCTATTTTATAGCTAAAGTATCCCATTACATACCCTCCAAAGCCAATCCCTCCCACAAGATTTCTATGATGCAAGAGAGGGCAGAATATTCACCTGGTTTGTTCAGAGAAGTTGTAAAGGCCTGTTGTATCCCACTGATCTATCGTGTTTGGTGTACTCAGTCCCCAAATTTCAGAGCAAGTGCTGTGCATAAATTGAAAACAAAAACAAAAAATTGATATGAATATGGAACATGGTTATTCAAAACACCATGATGTCAAACATGGAAAAATGTACAGAATACTTCCTCTCACATAGAAGATAGAGCATTGTTAGACTTGAATTTAGACTGACATCTCATGCTATATTTTCTATATGAAGGAGGCTATCAAAATGGAACAAGTGATTCAAAGTAAATGATAAATGTTTTTAAAAGGTGAACAAGTTCTCTGCTTTTAAGTAGTCAATACAGTTGTAGTTACTTAAAACAGGCAAAACTTCAGCCTAGCTCTTAAAAAAATTATTTTCAAAGGAGAGTTTCTGGGTTTGGTTTTTTTGTTTGTTTTTAAATGTAAGCTTCCCTAAGACTTCAAACAAATGCCATGTGTATCTTAAACTTAACATCACAATCTAACTTTCGGGTACCACCACTTAAGCATTAATCTCATTCTCCATGCACAAACTAATTTGCTGCTTTTCTCAAAACAGGAAAATTCAGACTGAAGAAAAGCACATTGTAGCTAACACTTCTCACTGTTTTCTGTACTCACCTCGATTAAAGAACTAAATATTCTTTTCCACAGTATACAAAATGCAGAATGTTTAATACAGTTTTACAGCAGAGTATTTTAGGATTCAACTATAGGATAACAAACTTTCAATTGCTAAATCAAGGAGGAGGAAAAGAGAGATAACTAATTCTTTACCAAACTGGTTCAAGGACAAGATCACAACAGTAAAGAAAAAGGAACCTTCAGTCATAGGCACAAACTAAAAGCAGCATCAGATTTAAATAAAGCAAGAAAACTTTGCACCTCAAAAAATGAAGAGAATTTGGTTCACAAGCAACTTATATCTCCACTTCCTAATTACAGAGCCTGAAATTTGACTGGCTGTTATATTCCTTTTAAAATTGATGGCTAAAAGAATCCACCAAACTCCTGTTTTTAAATATAGGTGTTGTGATTTAAATTTAAACTACTAAGTTTAGTTGATACATTCATAAATTTGTATTGAGTGCTTAAGGGAAGACAAGTAGATATTTTTATTTCTCCTCCCTACACAGGGAAAATTCATTAGTGTTATGAAACAAGAGCAGACAAACATAAGTGTGGACTATCAATGAAGGGAATTAATGGTTCATGTCCCCTTCTTGCCTGTTCCACACACCTCATTTTTAATGCCATTCCAAGGAGGTTGAAATGTCCATGCAATTAAGCAGCAACCTAAATCAATAAACTGACTATCTGACCACAGAACACATGTGGCGGAAAACTTATGTTTTGAGAGTTACTTTTCATCCAGATCACTTCTATTTGCTGTAGAGCTACATGAGCACTACAAAGGAGGAATGAGAGTATAATTGTGGGCAGTAGCTTGCATTTATCACAAATAAAATTGTTAAATAAAAGATGACCTTTGACATTTTACTGATTATAGACACAAGTAAAATCTTGTACTAGAGAACTTTTTGTCTAATAGAGAGCAGCAGTGTCAGATGAGAAGGTCCATTCTCTGATATAGATCCAGTTCTTCCAAAGAGCCAAGTGTCCTGAACAAGTTACATCCATCTCAGACACAGGCAGCATCACAGCTCTCTAGAAAGAGTAGGTCAAGAGGGATCCTGACCATCACTGCATTAGCAGAACCTACAGCCTCTCTTTTTCACATTCTTAAGTCATCTCTAGGACGGTAGACTGCCAGAAGTTGCATAAGGATTGAAATAGTTGCCCTGAAGACACATAGGCAGCCTCTGGGATGCCAGGGAGCATCCCAACACTGTACTGTGTCCTTAAATATGCCCTTAGCTGGAGGACCATGACTACAAGAATGATCAACTCCCAGTCGACCCTGAAATTGTGCAGGATCTGCTGCTCCAGCTGGATTCCTACAAATCTATGGGGCCTGATGGGATTCATCCCAGAATCCTCTAAGATCTATTTGATGTTAGTGCAAAACCTTTCTCTATGATTTCTGAGTGGTCTTGGGAATCCAGAGAGGTCCCAGTTGCCTGGAAGCTGTTGAATGTTGTCCCAATTTTCAAGAAGGGCAAAAAACAGAACCCTGGAAACTACAGACCTGTCAGTCAGTCTCTCTTCAGTGCCTGGTAATCCACCTAGTTGATCAAGGGAAGCCTGTTGGTGTAATATTTTTGGATTTCAGTAAAGCTTTTGATACTGTCTCTCACAGGATCCTTCTGGACAAAATATCCAGCACACAGCTGGATAAACATGTCATGTGGTGGGTGAGCAATTGGCTCATGGGTCAAGCACAGAGGATAACAGTGAATGGAGTAACATCAGACTGGCAACCTGATACTAGTAGGGTTCCTCAGGGCTCCATCTTGGGCCCTGTGCTCTTCAACATCTTCATAAATTACTGGGAACTGGGACTGGAAGGGATACTAATCAGGTTTGCAGATGACACAAAACTGGGAGGAGCTGTTGACTCCCTCGAAGTCAGGGAGACCCTGCAGAGAGACCTCGACAAATTAGAGAACTGGGCTATCACCAACCATATGAAGTTCAACAAGGGAAAGGGATGGATTCTGCACCTGGGATGGGGCAACCCTGACTGTTCATACAGACTGGGGAATGAGATGCTGGAAAGCAGTGCCACAGAAAGAGACCTGGGGGTCCTGGTCGATGGCAAGTTGAATATGAGTCAGTAGTGTGCCCTGGCAGCCAGGAAGGCCAACCGCGTCCTAGGGTGCATCAGGCACAGCATCGCCAGTTGGTCGAGGGAGGTGATTGTCCTACTCTAACTCTGCACTGGTGAGACCTCACCTTGAAAATTGTGTGCATATTTGGTCACTGCAATATAAGAAAGATATGAAGCTATTAGAGAGTGTCTGTAACACTACAGCCCTGGGAGCTGCCGGCCCAAGGGCTTAACTAGGAGTTTTACTTTAATATATAGATATAGGGTTCTTTAATACCTTGAGATAGTGTCAAGAGAATAAACCATGGACTTGTTACCAAGGGATTTCTTTATTAATTTAGGGAGCAAATAAGAGAACTTGGCCAAAGTTCAAAAAGGACACTGTACAAGTTAGACAAAAATGTTTCACCACAATACTGACTCAGCATATACTACAACCCTGTCGTGGTTTTGCTTGATCTTGGAAACTAAGCAGGAATTTTCCTTTCCCCGGCCCACTGTGTGAAGGGGAAGTTGAATGGGCAGGTTGGCTGTGGCTTAGGCAATTGATTAACACAAATGAAGTGGCTGGTAGAACCACATTCCAAGTTGATGGCCCTCAAGATCTTGTCTGTGGGGAGGGGTGAGGAGTTCTTTTTTTACTTTTTTTCTCCTTCCCTGGGAAACAGCAGTGAGTTCGTTGCTGCTGGAACTGGGACAAAGTTTTGGGTGGCAGGAGTTCCGAGGTGGTTTTGTTCTCAACCTGGCTACCCGGTTAGCTCAGTCTTACCCAGCCTGGGAACCTGCTTGGATTCTCATCAGAGAGGAACCATTTGGGAAGGAAGTCACCTTCTTTCCCCTCCTCCATTGTTTCCATTTTTTTTTTTTGGCAGCAGTTCTTGTGCACATGAAAGGAGAGGGGAAACCACACCACACAACTCAGCTAGCAGGACAGAGTGAGTTCCTGTTGTGAAGGACCTTTTTTTTTTTCTTTGCCTCCTTTCTCCCTTTTCCTGGTGAGTGAAGACCTTCATTTTCAACTTCTCCAGCACATCCCGGGGACCCCCCATGTGGCGACCACCAGTGATCTCTGCTACTGGCACAGAGCACCGCAGGCTCTGCATCTCCAGTGATCCAACACCAAAGGGTGTAAACTGAACTGTTTACTTTTTTGTTTGTTTATTTTTTAGTTTTGAAAGGGATTATTTTTGGGTATAGGATTATTGCTTGGTTGTTTTATTTGTGTTCTTTTGTTGTTCTGCCAATACACATATATCTTTTAATAAAGGACTGTTATTTTTTTCTTTTTCCACATTTTTCTCAATTGGAACCTCTTAATTTTGGATTTACAATTGCTTAGAGGGAGGAGTTTGGGTCTTCCTCATAATTCATCCTCAGCAAAACACTTGTGTCTCATTAAACTGAGACAAACCCTTAAGATCCAACCAATTCACAACACTTAAGTCAAGATCCAACCAATTCACAACACTTAAGTCAAGATCCAATCCCTCCAACTCCAAGCCATCGTAAGCATCAAGAAAGGAGCAAAGAAAGAGCAGCAGAGGGAGCAAGAAGAGAGAAGGAGAAAGAGGGAGAGATAGCTACCCCTGGAACCTTGTAGAAGACCAGTTCTCACATGTCCAGGTGGTAGGGTTGCAACACAAGGTAAACACATGCCTATGGTGTTATTTGATCTAGTCCCTATGGCCAACCCCTCCAGGCAGGGCCTCTGACCCACCAGCCGCTCTGGGATTCCAGGTCAGGGTGAGGGACAGTGTTCTCACTGTCCCTGCCAATCTGAGCCTGGCGTAGGGACTCCAGGAGGTATGGTATGTTATAGTTTTCCCAGGCTGTCTGCGACTGACAACTACTATGAGGTTTCCCCATGTGGGTTCCAGGTCCCTGCCATGAGGGATAAGATACCACCTCACTTCTGTGAGGTTCAACCTATCCCTTTCCCCTACACACACATACTCCCCACAAGGTGGTTCTGACCCCATAATAACTGATCCGGTGTCTAACAGTATCCAAAGGAGGGCAACAAAGATTGTGAAGGGCCTTGAGGGGAAGCCGTATGAGGAACAGTTGAGGGCACTTGGTCTGTTCAGCCTGGAGGAGACTGAGGGGAGACCTCATTGCAGTCTACAACTTCCTTGTGAGAGGAAGAGGAGGGGTAGACATTGATCTCTTCTCTGTGGTGACCAGTGACAGAACCCCAGGGAATGGCCTGAAGTTGTGTCAGAGGAGGTTTAGGTTGGATATTATTAGAAGGTTCTTCACCCAGAGGGTAGTTGGGCACTGGAACATGCTCCCCAGAGAAGTGGTCACAGAACCAAGCCTGACAG